ACCAGCTTTTGACACAAGACGCAGCAAGTTTGAAAAAAAAACCAGACAAAACATGAAACAAGAATAAAGACAAGATAAGGAAATGTGGGCATCATTCAGCATCACAGAGAGTGGAATGTCACAGAAAACATGCAAAAACTGTCCATCTTAGCAAGTTTTAAAATCTTATTTCCAGCCAAAAAGTCTTTTTGATCTTGTTTTGAGACTGATTTACTTCACAAGAACTGATTGTGTAAGAATAATMATCTTGTTTTCAGAATGTGTAAGATTATTTGTCTTGTTAGTCTGAAAATTTGACTCAAATTAAGTCAAAAATTTCTGCCAATGGAGTAAGAAAATTTTACTTTGTAAGATTCTTGAAATAAGAAAAAAAAATTAGTCAAATCAAGTATTTCAAGAATCTTGCCAAGTAAAAAATTTCTTACTCCATTGGCAGAAATTTTTGACTTAATTTGAGTCAAATTTTCAGGCCAACAAGACAAATAATCTTACACATTCTGAAAACAAGATGATTATTCTTACACAATCAGTTCTTGTGAAGTAAATCAGTCTCAAAACAAGATCAAAAAGACTTTTTGGCTGAATATAAGATTTTAAAACTTGGTTAGATGGACATTTTTTGCAGTGTAAAGTCTGAAAGGTTATAATTTCCACCAAGAAATAACTAATTTGGATAATGCTCCTAAATCTTTTTCAAGCTTTGATGTTTGTTTTCTTGATAATCTGATTTGAACAAATCATCCCCTTCTGAACAATGAAAGTGGTACTCAAAAAATCAACCTTTGTCTTTTTTTTCTCAGTGGTTTCTATTTATGATCCCTAAACTCGTGTTTTAACAGCTCATCCAAATTGTACATCTTCCTGTCACCCTGACCCTTGCTGTGAAGAAGAGGAGGCAGGAGTTATAGTACTTACAGCTGGCTGCACAGTCAGGTCTCTGCTGCGCTGAAGGAAAGAGGAAGTGAATGAAAAAGTAAGGAGGGAGCAGCTCTTCTCTCTGGATCTCCCTCCCTCTTTTTTTTTCTGTCTGAGGACAACAGGGTGGCTTTTTATCGTTGCTGAATGAATCAGCGTGGGTCTGAATGTTTGACTGTCTGTCTGGAGGCATGCATGTGTGCGTGTTTGCAGTTTAAAGCTCATCAGGGAGAACATGCTCAGTAATAGTTTCCATCCACAGCTGGAAATGATACAGATTCCCATCCAGGCCCAGGATCAGTGGTACCACCCTCCGGGTTTTTTTTTTTACATGCAGCTGAGGAGGAGGAGGTTTCCACGGACGTCTTCATGAAGGGGCCTGGGTGACACACTTGTTAGAGAAGGCCCGTCTCGTCTGAGCCCTTTCAGCGTTTTGTCTGTCACATTTGTAGCAAACACAGCAGACAGTGTGAACAGCGGGATCCTGTCAGCTGACTTGTTGACCTGTCATCTCTGAAGGCTTGTCAGGAAACGATTTCTCCCTTTGTGTTCAAATACATTCCCACTCACGCAGAACATCAGTATTTCCACATTTTACTGCAGAAGGCATTACTTACCTCTCAGATGGGAGACAGCAGAGCCATGAAACGGTGTAGTTTTCGGAGATTAGTTGTATTTCTGTGACGGCTATAGGCTTCTGTGTGGTTTATCTGTTGATTCTCGCTCCTTTGCAAAGAAACCAGGAGCAGCTCGGTTCTATCCTCCAAGGTAAATATTTAACAGGTAGACGGATCAGAAAGCAAAGGTCACGCCTCTGTCTTTTGCTCTGGAGGGGAGTCCACCCCACACATCAGAGCAGGAGTTATCCAACAACTGACAATTATTTTTTAGATTATTATTCCAAGAGCCACAATTCAGATATTATATATATTACATCTATGTGTTAAAATCTCTCGATACACTCTACTCTCTGAGGTTGGAAGCGTTGATTATTATGATCATTACTTACCAAAGCAGAAAAAAGTCAAAAACAAGCATCAGTTTTCAAACACATTTTGACAAAAGTACCTAAGTTTATTTCTAACCCTTCACTATTTATTTCTCCTGAGAACGTGATAAGTAATACTACACCCCCGCCTAGTGGTTCTGAAAAGAACTGCACCCTTTATGTTTACTTTCAGGAGGTGAAAGACAGATG